AAGACAGACAGACAGACAGACAGACAGACAGACAGACAGACAGACAGACAGACAGACAGACAGACAGATAGTACAAACCATTAATCAAGAAACTGTTTGGCTGCGCGATCACCCCAGCCCGGAAGTCGTTGTCTAGCAACTGTGCCGCTGTTTCTCTGACCCAATCAGTGACGAAGATTCGATGTTCTTGGAGATCGAAGTCGTACATGTGGCCATGGGGGTCACGTGACTTCGGTCGCCGGATGATGAGACTCCCGAACAGTCCCTCCGCCCGCTGAATGGCTGAGTGCGCATGCCAGAAATGTGTGCCTTTATCCAAGGCCTTGTAGCTAGGTGGGGGAAAAATGTAGATGTGATGTCTTTACACCCTCATTAAAACCATTTATTTGGATCATTTCTAGGATAAGGGCGAAAAATTCTCGTAGGTCCCGTGTGCAAGTTACGCACGTTAAAGATCCATTGGTGGTCCCGAAATCCATTAGAGTAGGCGTCAGCCAGCACCTGGGCAAAATTCCAAATTAATTCCTACCAAACTTATAATATTTTGATGTGCCCCGTGCTCTCATAATACCTTATGCAATTGCGAGCACCGAAAAACACTAATAAAAGATAAATGAATAAAATAGACGCATGTACCTGTGGCGTGTGTTGGAGTTCTATTTTGAAAGTTGTAAGAAAGGCCCCCTATCGTTTTCCCCTCAGTTCACCCAGCTATGAAGTGATACTTACAGCCGTCTATGGTGTAACAGTTAAGCCCTTCGATGTCGCATGCAGAAGATCCGAATTTCGATCCCCATGTGGGGAGAGAATTTTTACAGAGTATCTCAGTCTTTTTTCTGGGATATTGTATCCCTGAATACCAGGGTTTGAAGTCCATCCCCAAAATGATCAAAATTGTGTCGCTGGGAGCGTAAAAGAACCCATCCACTTTGAATAAAAAATAATTTTGTTCATAGAACCGTTATTCAGCAATCGTTTTAGGCAGGTGGAGAAAGGTAATGCAAGCTTGGAAGGTTTGGGAAGGGGGTAAAGGTTACAGGACAATGAATATCTTTTTCAGGAATAATTGAAGACTATACTCGGGGTAAATGTGCGAGTTGGTTTTCACTTGGGTTGTTGTATTCTATTTTATTTTTATTTATTCTTTTACCTGTTTATTATGTATACTTTGTTGTTTGTACGTCTGGCATGAGAATTTGAGAGATGTGTTTACAGATCAGACCACATTTTCACTGGAATTTTTTCTTCCTTCTGCTGCACATTTCCTCGGTACGCTTTGGTCGGGTATATTATAACTGTTTGCATTTCTACCTCGCCATTTTTACTCATCTTTTACAGAAGTATAGCGTCCCCCACCTGTACTTCATCTTGTTCCAGGTGTTGATAGGGCACTGTGTGACGCCTGCCACACCGTCCATGTACGGAGTGCCCTTCATGTTCAAGCCGTGCCAATGAATGGACGTGGCCTCTCCCAGGCCCATACGGTTGTCTACGACTACCTCAATGGTGTCGTTCTCACATACCTGAATGAGACGAGATGAGATGAGATCAAATCAGATGACATGACATGTGATGAGACGAGACGAGATGATATCAGATAAGATGAGATCAAATCAGATGAGATGAGATCAAATGAGATCAAATCAGATGAGATGAGATAAGATAGGATAAAACAAGATAAGGTGAATCTCTGCTGTTCAGATGCTGGCACAATGGTTTGGTGTTTCACTACACACACACACACACACACACACACACACACACACACACACACACACATACACACACACACACACACATACATACAAACACACACAGGCACACGCACATTCACACTTACACACACATACACAAACATGCACACACACAGACATACACACAACACACACCCGTACACATAATACATTTACAATTATAATTCTTATTGTTTTACTCCTTATTTATGTTACATGGTTGACCAAAAATAAACCTATCCTTCATCAAGTGGCAACACACATGCATATAGAAATAATGTTTAACACTCACAGACAAGCATGTTTATGTATATGTTATATATA